TTTTCAATTTTAGACACCTGGAATCCGTTGATGAAAGTATATTTGTTCTGAAATATATCCGATAATGTATTTCGCTCTTTAAAACTATCATCAGATGTGAAAAAAATAATAAGATTTCATTATATAAACATACACAAATTTTTGGCTCCTGGATCTGAGGAAGCCTTAAACGGCGAAATGCATTATTGGATATATTTCGGAACAAATATACTTTCATGAACGTTTTCCAATTGTCTAAAATTTAAATTTATTATATATATATATATATATATATATATATATATATATATATATATATATATATATATATATATATATAGATATATATGCGTATATTTTGGTATCATGTTTTCATTGAGACATGTTTTCGTTGAATAATTTAGATATATTCTGTCTACTTATTTTCAGTTGGATCCTTTCATATTCACGGATAAGCATTATGGTGATATTATTGAAGGACGAGAATAAATCGTCATGTTGCTAAATAATTTTGTTTTATTCCGAGTACTTTCGACATACCACAACGTCATCATCATCATATTGCAAAACAGATATTGTAGTGTCCATTATTGTTGTAAGTCGTGAAAGTCTGGGGTGTTTGTGATCTTTTTTCTCTCGTACTTCAATAACGATACCAAAAAGCTTATCCACCAATATGAAAAGATCCATATATATATATATATATATATATATATATATATGTATATATATATGCGTGTGTGTGTGCGCTCATATACGCAAATATCTATATTTAGCCATTCTATTGTAGAAAACAGATAGGTAATTACAACTGAAACAAAATGTTGTTTTAATGTTGGGCTCTTTCGATTATCGTTGGAAAGAAGTCAGAGTACTAAGAATTAGCCGAGAAAGCGTCTGTAGCATTAACGAAACTTAACGCTTAAAAATGTGTTCACGTGCTAAGATTAAGAAATGGAATTTAGTGTCGCGTGGTTAAAGTGACTTTGCAGTTTAAAAGCATTTTCCCACTCAGGCGCTGAGATTGAAACACATTTTTTATCGATAGTGTGTTGATTTCTCTTACTTCATAGGGCATAGAAGATTTTTAATCGTTTTTTTTTAAGTGGTAGAGAATTATGTTGTCGTAAATATCAAAACTGCATGTCATCTACACTTCGGTATCAGTTTTTTACAAAGTGCCTGTAAACAGCATAGAAACAACTCCATAGTTATGTTCAGAAACGTGGACAATTCTATATTTACTTGCCCATTTTTGTTCTTCTTTTACCCGCAAAGCAAAGCAATAGACTAAAAGGCGGTTCAATTAACTCGTGCCCAGTAAAAATGGATATATTTCTTGATTTCTTTAATAAAATTATTCTGCAGTGCATTTGCAAATATTTTTCATTAAGATGATTTGCAGTGCATTTCTTTACCACAATAATATCCAATGCATTTCTTTACTAAAATAATTTCCAATATATTTCTTTATTAAAATAATGACCAATACATTCCTTTACTAAAATAATTTCCAATGCATTTCGTTGCTAAAATAATTTTCAAAGCATCTCTTTCTTAAAATAATTTACAATAGATTTCTTTACTAAAATGATTCGTAGTGCATGTCTGTAAGAAAATCATTAGCAATCTATTCACAATATGAATGTCAAATGCCATGCGCATTTATAAACGCTTGTTTAAATTCAAGACGACTATTGATCGTTTATTCTTATTTGCAATAAAATACTGACATAAATAGATTGGTTGCATTTGTTTAGTTAAATAATTTAAAATTATTATCTTCATTTTATCTATCTATCTATCTATCTATCTCTCTCTCTCTCTCTCTCTCTATATATATATATATATATATATATATGTTAAGAAATGGACGAAGTCCGACAATTTATTTATTAAAGACATTTTTATTTATGTTTAACGTTGTTATTTTATAGATACAAGTATTTAAGCAAATGCTCTGTTTATGATAAACAGTATTCCTATACGGAAATAACATTTCATGGTGGCCGAGTGGTCAAGGCACGTCAGCGTATATGACGGTTCCGTATAGGATGCAGGTTCGAATCCTGTCTATGAACGAATATTTTCTATGAAAATTTCTCGGACATTCAGGCCGGTAAATGTTATTTAATACTGTTTATCATAAACAGAGCATTTGGCTTAAATACTTGTATCTATAAATAACAACGTTAAACATAAATAAAATGTCTTTAATATATATATATATATATATATATATATATATATATATATATATATATATATATATATATATATGTCATCTGTAGAAAGACTGTTCCGCTGTATCACAGCTCTTCAGTGTGGCTAGACGTCCGATTACTTCAAGCCGGGATCGAAACCCGACGGATTTGAGAGATCGTACACAAGGCTATCTTCGCACGCCAGAGAGATAGGGAAATTTTAACGTTTTCTATACAAAATACACCAGTGGCCCAGAGAGCTCAAATCAGTTGAAGAGCAATGCATTAATAGCAATATAAGCCACTGTTTTCAAAAT